GCACACACACGCGCACACACACATACATACAAGCCCACTTGGTTACACACATTAGCACGCAATCGGCTACTATTAACCTGGACAGTGAACTCGGACAATGCTGCGCTAAATGAAAAGCTAGCGCCCCTCGACAGGTTGGCAAACATGTTAGTGACAGGGAAATGCAAGCAATAGAGTGTTGGATAACGCGTGTTGGCTGGCTCACAACACACACACACACACATAGGTGAGGCATGGCGTCAGGAGTTGCAAAATCTCGTATATCCTTCTGGTTGCCTGACTGGCTGTCTGTACGCAGCGAGCGCCTGTGTAGTTTTAATTAATTAAATTTCACGCTCATAAAATGCGAAACAATGTGCAAAACCCAGACACACGCTTGCCCCCAAAGCTTTAAGCGGATCCAACTGAAACTACACTTGTTTAATTACTGAACCACGCCAGAAACTGCAACAGGCAACTGTTATAATGCAATGCAACAGAAATTGGCTCATGTGCAAGTTTGCAACAGTCGCAGCAGCAGCAGCTGCATCAGCGGTTGCAGCGATCGCTGACTCAGCTAAATGGCAATTGATATGGAGTCAAGAGTGCGAGAGAGCGAGTAACTGAGGCTTAGCATAATTGAAAGCGTCATAATATTATCCACTCGCAAGCGGCTTCATAGCAATTGATTCATTGTAATGTGGGCCAGTTGGACAACGGCCGACAACGAATTCTATGCACAGTGCATTTCTAGACTGCGCGCACACACAAACACACACACACACACTATAATGATGCACACGCGATTGCCCCATTGCCGCATATAGTCATCAAGCGTATCTTTAAGATACTTTTCATACTGCACAGTAGCTGTGCGGCGAATGCAATCATTAAGCTGCAATCATGAAAGCGTTACTTTTTGTTTAAGTTTTTATTGGCTGGCATTAATAGTGGACTTCCCTTTTTGCGCCGCATCCGCCACATGTGGCGGAATTGTTTAGATTTTGTTGTCGCCACTGATTTCGCGCATTTTTTTTTTTTTGGGTTTTTGCTGCGCAGCACGCACTCACATAGACAGTGTGTTAATGATCTGCTCTGCTGCGCCGCATAATAAACGGACGAGAAACTTCGAGCTGAATCAAAAGCAGTACAACAAAAACGTTGAGTCTGGACGTTGTACTGTTTTGCAAATCATTCACGCTTGTTCGTAATCGCTTTAAAATTAACTGCTAACCTAAGTGGTTAATGTCTGCTTAAAATTATTTAGTGATTGCAATAAAAATAAACAGATGTAAACCTTAATCAATTAGTTAGTTAGTTAGACACGATATACAAATTAGCAATACACCACTTTTTTGACTAGGAGTATCTAGATCTTAAATACACTAATAGGATTTACAAAATATCCAATAATAAAAAACACTGTTGGGCGCTGGGAATTATGCTAGAAATTATAAAGTGAACACGAAATTTTCTACAGAAATTACTAAATCTCAAAAGTAACTTTTGTGCATTATTTATTTTTTTGTTGTATATGAATTGTGAGAAAAGCTTTTCTGTCCCATTTAAATAAAAAACAACAAAAAGATAAGTCCGCCAAGAGCCATGTTTAAGCTGATAATGATGTTAAATTTTACCGTATTTATGTGAATAAACATAATTTCAATATTAATATGAAGTTTTGAGAGATTGTAATCCTCCAAATATTATATCCTTTCAATAGTTATCAAGAAGAGTAGAGAACAATAAATTTCAATAATTCTAAGAAAGTGTCTTTTTTACAATAACTACTTAGAGGCTATCAATTATCAACTTTTTCCCCTTTATAAATTGAATTCGTTCCTAAACAAACTATTCCTCAGTGTTTACAAATTCCCTTGCCTATTGTCAAATTTCGTCTGAAGACGAAACATTTAAATTACAAACGAAGCACACGATCTTGGCTGAATAAAAATAACAAACAATAAAAAAGAAAAATAGGAGAAGCAAAAATCATATATGTGTAAAAATTAACAACATTCGTTCAAGTTCCAAGGAATATCATCAAATGTTGATTTCATTCGCTGCAGCAATTTCCATTCTCATGCATAAATATTTAGCTAGTGTTCGCGTTTGACGTTCTCTCTTACCGCGACGCCGTCTGCTGATCTGATCTGATTTCTGGCTTTGAACCATTGGCGTTGGCAGTATTGTGGAGGATGAGGAGACTCCGCCTCCGCCCGTTGCCGTTGATGGTGTCTCATCGCCTGGCCAGCGGAGTGTCTGGCTGGCTTTTTATGAGTGGGTCGCTGTTTGTGCCTTGGCTGCCGCTTGTTTTGTTTATTTGTTCAAGTCTTTCGCAAAAGTCGTTCTGGCAACAGTCGCTTTTTTCGTCTGTTTATCTTGCTCAAATTGCTGAAGAATCGTAAAACTTAAATTCAAATATATGTGACGAGCGGGTTGCACAGACAATGATCGGATAAGCCGTGTGTTTCATGCGTTGCCATCAAAGCAAAAATTTGCAATTAGCAAGTTAGTAAAGTCACAGCCAATTAAGAAATAATTCGCTAGAGTTTTAAGAATTACGTAAGAATGTAAATGCCTCATTAGCAGCTTTGCTGATAACACAAGTGCCTCGGCCCACCGGTGGGTGATGCTGCAGACAAGAACACAAGATTCTGGCACGTATCCAGAAAGCACACCATTACTCAAATTATAAAAAAAACTAAAAAAAAAACAGCATCAAACTCTCTTAAGTAGCTTTACTCAGTGCATCAGCAGCAACCTGTTGGTGCCTGACTGCCTCATGCCACAAACGTGGCCGGGCAGGTCGTCACTTACAGCCCAGACATTATCATCATGCTCATCAGGAGCAGCAGCAGCAATGCGACGACTCTGACGATATATGGTTGAGGAAAATGCTACACATTTTGGCTGGCAAATCACGCAAATGAAATGCACAAAATGTGCGCCATTTATATCATGCAGCTAACACCCAGCTCCCGCACCGGTGACGTGTGCCAAGCTGCCTAGAAACTCGGAGGCAAAAATATGAGCCAACAGGCCACAGGCAGGCAGGCAGACTGGCCGCAAAAGACATTGCACGAACTGCACGAGTTGCTAGCAGGCGACTGAGTCAGCTGCATGCCCATATAACCCTCCTTCCCCCCCCCCCCCCTCCCACCAACCCATACACACACAAACACAAACACACTGTTCCTGTCGCACACCCATGCCCCACTATATGGCTACACTCAATTGCGCACTAATTTAGCGCAGCTAGCACTTAATAATTTCTTTTCATAATTGAGTAAAAAAACTGGTGACGGAAAAGCGAACGGTGCGACGCCTGGGTGTGATAGAGATGTCAAGAGATGATACCGGGCAACTGCATCTTGAGTAGCCAGCTAGAGAGCATCTCAGGCACAGCGGGCAGCAAGTTTCGAGGGTTGGCCAAGTAATACGATTGCTTGCATACACAGTTTTAAATAAAAAATCGAACGAACAATGTTCTGACATTGACTAGTTTCAAAAAAAAACATATAAATCTTCTATTTATGGTATGTGTTATTGGTGCATTTAAGAGGGACTCAAGAGTTCACAAAGTAGGAGATGTGGGAGAAGAAAACATGCCACAATATACTTTGAGCACTTTCGCTGCCATCACAACTGACTAGCAAAACGTCTGGCTTCTCTTGTTAGAAGAAGAACTAAGTATCCCATTAGTGGAAAGCTCCAGTAAGCGCTTTCTGGGGCAAAAAAGATTAGACTCAAACGGTGGAACCCACAAGAACTATCTAACAGGGTGCTCTAAAATTCACGAAAACTACATCAATGTGGTCCACTTTTGCCTAAATAAATCTAAGTCTCAACGCAATTTTAGATATTCTTGCTACCAACAAAATTAATTAGTAAATGTTCTGCATTTCAAACCAAACGAAAATTTACCAACATTTTACATATATGTGCTATATTAGCAGCAGGTTCGTTTTAGTTTCAAAAAATCATCTGTTTCTAAAATAAAAGTATCAATAATTTCACGATCATACCCCGCTAAATGCACTGCAACAGTAAATTGCCCACACTTGAATCGCCCTGCGTTGATTGAGCTGAAAATGCATTCAGAGCGGTCGGAAAGAGATTTATGTACGAGTTGAGGGTGGGCGGCCCAGAGAGGTGAATGTGGAGGGCAATGTTTGCAGTTGTAGGGTCTGACACGTCTGATTTAAGTCACCATGAAATGCTTTGAAGTTGAAGGCGTTAAAAACGAAAGGTGCACAAATTAGTTGCGACTACTTGACAGTAAATGCCACAAGTGCCACTTGAATGGGAACAAAAGCAAATTGAATTGAAGCAATTATACCACATATAAATGGCAAATGGATAAGATATTTAGACTCAAAGGGATACGTTAACGATAAAGGCGACAACAAATTTGCTGGCTATTAATTTCCAATTGTTAGCCCATTGATGACACTTTGAATAGCGGCCGAAAAACCGACAACTTAATTGGCTTAGCGGTTGCCCAGCAACTGCACATGCACACATATGTACGCACACACACACACCCACGCAGATACACACACACACACAGACGTGGTGGCATAAACAAAAGGCAGCTCTAAGCACGCATTACGAAAACATAATATGTTAGGCGATTAATCAACTGTCTAAATAGCTGCTTTCGAGGTTGGGGGGAAACTCTGGGGCTCTTTGACTAATTTATAAGATTTTTATCAGAGCTCAGACCGAGCGTTGAGCTTGGACCTTACGAGTGACCCACTCAACGGGCGTGATAATTGCACTATAAAAATGCGCAACTAGGGAAATAAATTAGCAGCCTTTTTGTTTTTGTACCCGTTTTGGTGCTTCTCTTTCTACGAATGCCATGCGATGAAATAAATCTTAATTAATATGAAAATCGATTACTTTGCGCATTAATTATTTAAAAGTAGCACTCGAATAAACAGCAGTTTGTTGCCAACAGTCGAATTACCAAATAAATTATGGGACAGTAGCTGGAGTTGTGCGCTTTAACTTACGTTTTCTTTCTCGTCGTAGTGCAAACTTACCTGAAATGAAAATGAAGAGAAAATATATAAATTAATAACATGAAAAAGAATATAAATAAGAGATGCGTTTGTGTGTGTGTGTTAATAGTGTATAATTTATGAGCAGAAAATTGAATTCAAATTAAAATTATATCAAAGGAATAACACATAAATCACAATAACAATGCAAAAATGATTTTCCATGTAAAAAAAAAAGGCAACTTTTTTAATTTATTTGTGTCAAAGGGCCCAGAGAAAAGCAGCATACAGCCCGTTTTTGCAGAAAATATATGAATACCCTTTAATACAAAGATAAGGCGGAGTAACTTACATGTGGCAAATTCGAAAGAAAATAGCTTAGCTAAACTATAGATAAATTCATTTCTGTGAAAATCTCTTTGACATAAAAGGCATTCGACTCGTATTTGATTTAAATTTAATAAAACATGAGCACATATTTGCGAGCTGACTTGCAGCTTAAAACGCTCGAGCATATTGTGATGAAAAGCTGGGTATACATTTTTATTTGCAGAACCGTTTTGAACTCATTTATCTCCCTACAGAAGGATAACACATACGAGTGAATGCTCCAAGCTGCAACATGCTTACTTATTTCCTGAAACATTTATCATGGCATCAACGAACCACCCGCTTAGCCAGCCAGCTACACATATGTAACAATGATAAAATGCTCAGGATACAGCAAGTGGCCATTGTGCGTTATGCTTTAGACGCTTTACGCTTTTGTCCTGCAGGAAATCTCATAAGTCATTTCTTCAAGTCAAATAATTCATAATCGATTTGTGGAAGCAACAGCAGGACCAGCATCCCACCAGGCTGAGTTTGCGTTGGGCAAACAAAACTCGCGCGAACGAGCATTCGCCGCGGGACAAGTTCGTTAGGCCAGGCTAGTGCGTCAGAAAAGTTGATCCAACATTTACCTATGAAAATCAAAATGTACCCTGGGAAACAAAGGTGCAGGATGACTACAAGACAAACAAAATACGCTCGTTGAATTTCTATTAAGGCAACTAACTCAAAAGTAATTGCTAGCTGGCGCACTTGAGTAGCAATTGCAAGCATATCCCTTCCCCACTACCACCACATACCAGGAGGAGTCTGGCTTTGGTTCGGTCTCCAGCTGCTGCTACTGCTGGTCATCAATATGTGCGCGTTAATGGATGCCTAAATAAATGATAACTGCAAATTACGATTCCTTGCAAAGAGCGGAAGCCAGAAGCAGCCTCACGTACTGCTAAATACATTCCGCTCTGCTGCAGTTGAGCCAAAATATTTCCACGTGTTTTCACTGAGGCGCCAAAGTTGAGTCAAGTTACAAAGTGCTTAGTTTTTCTTTAATTTTTTTGCTTCAGTGGTAACTCTAGGTTTTGGGATTCTACAATTTTTTTGGTTTTACCATTTTGTTATGCCAAGCTCACCTCAACGGGCAGGTGGGTAGTTGGGGGGGTCAAGTGAGTGCTCTGCGGTTAGGTATGTGTGGCGGAAGGAGATCATTAATTTTTAATTTTAACATTTTGAGGTACACTTAAGCGAATTTCCTGCGCACACAGCGTGCTCTACCACAGCTATGGGCAATCAAATTAAAAATGCATCGATGTGTAAGTTTTCGCTGATGATTCGCCCAGTGGGTTGCGAATAAACAAAAACAAGTTTGTATGCTTTAGCTGAGAGAGTTTTGACTAGAAGATATCCAATAAAATTATTTAGGAGGTCATGCAAATAGTATTTCTTTTTAATCAACAAGCGGGTTGGCATCAGAAGCTACCTAAAATATTGTATCTTACTTCAGTTTAAAGATTTGCTATATTTAGACAATTTTAGTTGGGAATATTTGAGTACAATTGCAATGCGTATTCTACACATTGTCATGCATCAAGGAGAAGATCTCTAGAACCCCATGTTCTCGAAACAATACATTTAGAAGTATTGATCGCCCGAGAATAACTGTTTTGAAACGTCTAGTCTAATATCTCTGTAGCCTTCAATATTTGTGCAACCCCACACCAATTTCTATATGCCTTTTAATCAGTTTTATAAGCATCGGTTATAGCTGTAAGCTACAACATAATGTTCAGTATTTGTAATTATGGCATCGAAATACTATAAAAGCGCCACAAAGGGCAATTGTAAGGTATCAATGTGAGTTTCCATTAGTTCCGGTTGAACTCAAATGCAAGCATAGGTCGCCCAGGTCGCCCAGGTCGTCCAGGTCGTTGCCAGCAGAAGGTGGCGAGGGGCGGCTCTTTAACAAGGTTAACACAACGCTAAGCAGCTGTCCCTGGCGGGAGCAGCTTCCATGTTCACGTCGCAACCTCAGTGCACTTGAGGCGCATTCGTTCAACGTGCTGCCAGCAGCTAGAAGCCAGCAGCAGCATTGCATACAAATTGCTCTTGCACACATACACACATGCACACATGAGAGAGCAGACTAAGAACTGTTGAAAGACAGGTAAATGTGGGCTGGTATGTTGGTATGTATTTAATGTGGTTAGCCACACACACACACATATATATATGTGCAAGCAACATCTATACAGAAATATGTTTAGATGTTGTGGCACGTGAGCGTTGGAAATGCGAAATGGACATTGCTTAATTCCATATTCTGCGGCATGTGGATGCAGCTTGATTTTATGCAACTCAGGCATCATAATAGCTCATTATGCTTGAGCAAAATTTGCCGGGCGCCCCAAAATTCATTAGCTAAAAGGCAGCAAACCGATATTGAAGAGCACCAAATTGCCGCTGAGAATGTTGTCTTCGCTTTACACAAATCGATACGCTAATTGATTGCCACAATTGCCGCAATTGATTTAGTCTAGCCCCGTCTAATTGATAGCCACAACGTGCCAAGCACATATATCTCTATACATACAAGTTTTCATTGCGGCTATTTTAAAATATATATAAACCGCAAGACGCCTCACAGGTGAGCCCACAACATTAGCAGCGCCCGCTCTACATGATTTAATAGATCACTTCGAGCGCATCAATAATCAGCGTAAATTAATTAAGCGTTTTACACAGATATATGTATAGCTCAAATATATATATACTTATATATTTATATCTACAACTCTCGCAATTTAGAATGACGTCGCTCTTAAGTTTCACAGACAATATTTTTCGATACACACACTACCTATATGTATGTTATATCTATTTCTTATACTCTGGCGTAGGGTATTATAAATAATCTTGTCAGCACAAGTGCAACGCATTGCGACTGACAATGATCCAATTAGGATTAATAATTGATCGAATCAAAACATTAAGTGAAGCAAGATCTGACCAAAAATAAATTGTTTGATAAGTAATATCTCATAGTGTTTGAAACCGCCAACAACAATAAGTTGGCTAACTTAATAATTTAGTTGACATTTAAATAATCTAACGCACATTACATTATTTTGTAACAGTACTTTTTTTTGGGTTTTCTGGGGATTACTTGAATGTATTATTATATATTTGTAAACTATGTTTCAGCAAGAGTGTGCACATTTTGACAACGTGCTGTCTTTTTGTTTTCTGTTTATTTTTGTTGTTAAGAACTTTTACGTCGCGGTTTATTTTTGGACACCCAAAAGAAGTGCATAACTTGGCCACGCTCCAACGACCCACGCAAATATATAAAGAAATGCCGCTGTGAAAATGTTATATTGTCTGTGCATAAAATATTAAAATCCCATTTTTTATGAGCGCCAAGTGGTCAAGTGTACAAATAAAATAAACCAAATCTACAATAACATTTATTCTCTATACTAATAAAAGGAACGCACTGCAGGTGTGTGTGTTTCTGAGAAGAAAAAGAATGAGAAAGAAGGAGAAAAATCATGTGTGTTCATTTTCGCGTCTCTATCAGCTTTGAAAGCTCGCAAATGGCAAACTAACGAATGGCATACGGCGCCTCTTTAATAAATATAAACATATACACAATTTATATGGTTGTCGTATAAATCTTGGGCGGGATTAGGCGATATCTTGCCGCTTTAACGTGGCAAATTGTAGTGTGGTCCATTCACAAATCGTTGTTCTAATTATGCCAATAAAATACAACTAAAACAACATTTATAAGCATTTTTCTGCATTGTTTATATGCGATATTCTATGGACATGTTTCCGGTTATTTTTTTAAATAAAAATTAAATCGCACAAATCTATATGAAACATTTTGTATTGCTAGAAGTTCAAACGATTTTGGATCAAGCGTGCAAAATATAAATACAAAAGAATTTAATATACTATAAATCTTTCGCCGTTGGCATTGCTTGTTATACATGTGTATCCTTAAATCTGAAATTAATTTTTAAATGTCGGCTTTCTTGGCCTTGGTAGCAAGTCGTATCAATTGACTTAGTTAAGTTAGGGTAGTTTCTTGGAATATTGACCCATCGAAAATGTATTATTAAAACTTTAAAAGAGTTATTTGTTTGATATGTTTATTTGTGATTCCGAAGAACTAAACTAAATCGATTACGAAAGTGCGGGAACAAATCGGATTATCTATCAAGAAAAATTTCTTGGTGTAATAAATCGTTTAAACTGCTTTCAGGAAAGAACTTTAGTTCCGTAACACTGGCAATCCTTAGACATAAATATTTACTTACTAATTGCTTAGCTACTGCACTAAAACAACAAGAGTGTTAAATGATTCTATATTTGAATCGGGACTTTTTTAAATGTTTCCAGAATCGAATAAGAATTTGGATCATATTCTGCACTAGTTAGTCCCGTTCCCCTATGGTCTATGCCAAAATTCAATTAATAAAACATTATCCATTAGGCGTACAAACGCACAACAACTAATAAAAGTTGCATTAAACGTGAAACCTGCTCGTAAAAGTGGCGAATGCACAAATTTTGGCAGTAAGTGGAGGCTGCTGATGGAAAGCTGCCACATTAATTTGTAAATTCTGGCTAAGTGGCGTCGTAAACGTGAATTATATTCAAATGCATGGCAAAGGCCGTACACGCGTAGCATAAATTCATAATTTTTCATTAGCACACACAGATAGACAAGGCGGGGGCCATTAAAACGTCGCCAACTATTGACTTATGACCAACAAGAGACAACGCCCCGTCGCCCCAACGAAGCGGCTAATTATAAGCGACGCTGTCCAGCCATTAGAATAGGAGGAACAGGAAGAACTTACAAAGCACAAACATGAAAAAGAAATGAAATCGTAAATATTATTTTTAGCTTAAAGAAGGCAAACCAGCCAAGAGCTGAGCAGAACAATTTTCCAAGTGGCAGACAGTAAAAGCGAGAGATTGGCGAAGCTGTTGCTGGCTTTGCGGAAAAAGACTCTATATGTATCTGAAAGATACATTTAATGTGTGGTTTATGGTCTTGTTAGTTTCGTGAACACGCGTCGTATACGTAATGGACACAAATTGAAACTTTAGTCACTGTTCATTTGTAAACTAATAGAACACTCGGAATTCATTTATTTATCTTTGGTATGCTATAAAATTGTAGCGCAAATATTTGCAATTCAATTGCAGCAGAAAGCCGAATCAAATGAAATAAATTCAAACATATAAATATATACATATACATGCTACATACATCCAACATTCGCATACGGACAGTCAAATGCAAAATGACATGAAAAATATGCCGAAAATTGGAGCAACAACAATGCCAGCAGCATACAGTAGGGATTCGAGACACGACTAGAAACAATTATTTATTGACGTTCTACTACTGCTTTGCATTCAAAGTTTTGTGGTTTTTTTCCAGCGCCATCAAAGTGTCTTTTTTCGATGGCCAATTGCAGTTCAAATGGTCCACACAAATACACACACTCACACACACTAGCTCAAACACTTCAAGTTGTTATTCAAAATTACTTAGCACTTTATAAAGATTCAATATTTTATTTGAAAGTTAACACTTACAGCTTGGTTCATGCTAAGAACTCTTTGCACCAATACCAACATAAACTTACCTAAAACGAAAGAAAAAGAGCAAAAATCAAAATATATTTATTTAACTTCACTTAAGGCTAGCCTACTTGTAGATATTCTCATTCTTATACTGAATAAATTTCATGCAAACTTCCGTTTCTACATCTTCCAGCAATTTAAATTGTTTAGCTTGTTTATATGATTGTTTTCGGCTTGTTTTGTTTTGGATTTTAGTCTTTTAGATTTCTGGACGTGAAAATAAACAATAGTGTTGCAAGATTTTATGCACGCCACAGCAAAGCAAGCGGAAATCGACAGTCCAATATATAAGAGTAGTTAGTAAATAAATATAGAATAAAAGTACATGCGTGCATATAAATAAAAGATTTAAATGTGATGCAAAATAAATTAGGGAAAATGGAAATACAGCACAATAAAAATTAATTTTAGAATACAAAGCCAATTTGAGAGATTTCGTATGCAGAACTTAATGCTGATAAATTATATTGTGGCGGATTGAATGGTTGCCATTCGTAGGGAATTCACATCGTAGACTATTTTTCTCTTTCACTCTTTGTGATGCCCTATGCTTACTGTATTGAGCAGATAAAATCTGGCATTATAATAGGTGCTACAATGCTGGAAATTCCTTTTTGAGTAAATAAATAGTCAGTAAAAGGAAGCAATGATAAAAAGCTTGAACAAGATGCATGGATTAGGCGCCTATTAATTAAATCAATCATGATGAACTCACAAGAGAACTAAAGAGAAAAAATTATTCCAATTTAGTTATCAGATCTTAACTTATCTAAGTTCGGCTTAAAATTGATAATTATTTTGAATGTTTTTCTGGCTTAGTTATCATTCCATTTAAAATGTTCTCCGCTATTAGTTATAAATGCCAAACTTTTTAAGTTGAAATCTCTCTTTCTCTTTATATCTAAATCTATCGATAAATATCTAACTCTAGCTATCTCTCTATCTCTATTAACTTCTCTCTATCCCTCTCTCTCTCTATGATCCATCAAAAAGTGTGTGAAAAATAAGAATTACGAATTAACACACACAGACACACGCACGTACACATACACACTAAAATTTTGGCACTATAGAGTGTTTGTAAATTGCTTGTAGCAAGTAATCGCCCACTGTGCAGCACCTCGTTGTTGTTGTTGTTTTTGTTGTTGTTTTTGTAGTTGTTGTTGTAGTTGCTATGACGGTATCGTCGCTAATAAACCGCTTATCTAATTTGTTATAACTTTGTTGTTATTTACCTATTGTGGGCCGACAAACAAAAAGGCAAGCAAACACAAAAGCTTCAAAAGCCCACTCACACGCAAGCACACATACACACACACACACACACACACTCGAGCGCACACAGCACACAGAGCGTGGTTATCTAAAATTGTTATATGGCATGTTAAAAATCTCTGTAAATTATTATTGATTTTTACGGCAGCCGCGACCAATGAGCTACCTAATGAGCGACGCACACTTGATAGAAACAACAATAAAAACAAGAACACAAATTAAGTGCAGTTTATTAGTTAAATTGATAAAAATTTATAACGCCGACGCACAGTGGTTTGAACAGCGAACAAGCATCAATAGTAATGTCGAGATTGTGAGAAGTCAAATCTGCTTTTGAAAACTCAATGACTTTCTATGAAAGTGTAGTCGAAAGACAATGCAATAAACAAGAGTTTTCTATACAGACTTAGCTAATGCTGTAATCAATATAGATGAAAATTTCCCTAAAATCCTTTTGAGTTATAAATATGTTGATGAGACTTCATTATTTTGTATCACACATTTAAGAGCCTGTACAACCTACTTTTGATGATCGAGCACCCACGAGATGGTGTTATATGAAAACTGTTGTAACATATGTTTCTATGTAGCAAGAACGTTTGTTATGTTGGGACAAAAACCCCAAGACCACAAATCGATTCTGAATGTGCTTCAAAATTCTCGAATACTCACGTCCTAGTCTGTGCAAGTACACAGCTCAGGCTGAGCTAGGCTTTTGCTCTAACTACCCATATGCTCGTTACACTGTGCGTAGCACCGTGGACAACAATATATGATGAAGAGCGCCCTCAAGTGAGCGTTGACTTCAACTTATGTAGTATGTACAAAGTTAACATCAACTGATGTCATCAGATCTTTATCGTTGTGTGTGTCTGCGTCTGTGTGAGTGTGTTTTTGTGTGTGTGTGTGTGTAGTTAGACCGGCAACAGCAGTATTAGTTCATTGTCTGCTTAAGAGCGGGGCACTTCAACGACAACAACAACATAAACAATGAACTGTGCACTTAACAGCTCGTGTGCCTTAGATGTTAGAAAGTATTTATCTTTTTCACGCTTAGCTAAATCTTTACGTTTATTCGGCACAAGTTTTGCATATTTGATTTTGCATAACAATTACCAAAGGCTCTAACAGAGCGTTGACAGTTGGCTGTCAGAGTCCGATAGTATCGGCAGATCAGTGCAAAAGGCCCACCCAAAATAAACGCTGTTAAACAATGCAAATGACACACAGCCCATAAGCTGAGACGGGCAGATAGACAAGCAGATACTTAGCCATATATAATATGCATATATATGTATATATATCTGTACATACATGCATTATAGCAAAAGGGCCAGAACCGACGAGCATTTGATGCGATTTGATGGATTCTGCTGGCAGCGTGCCCAGAAGCAGCGGTCTCGGTGTCACTTGTGCAAATGAAAACCAAATTAGAAATATTTTGCAGAAAAAAAAGTAACATAAGAACACAAAAAAAATGCCAGAAATCTCAATTATTTTGCAAAACATGTGTTGGCTGTAGATGCGCTTCATGTTTGGCAATCCGTCAGATACGCGTGCTGCTGCTGCTGCTGCTGCTGCTGCTACGAAATAGTTCTTTCCATCTAAACAACATGCGACTATAAGTCATGAACACAAAACTGAAAACTTAAATTGAAATCTGTTAAGCAGACCAAGAAACGATACGACAACTAAATGTTGGGAGTACATTTCGTTTTATAGCTGTCAAAGACTTGTGTACTATTTCTTTATTTAATACATATTTTAAATTTAAATTCAATTGCGAATTAAATCAAATAAATGGCAAAGTGCCCAGAGGGAAAACCAACAAATAAGCTGACAAATAGCATAAAATTGATTTCGCACTAACTCAAATTGCATTTCATACAACCAAACACAAATGCAATCAAATCATATTTGCAGTATTTAATGAAAAAAAAAAAGAATTAATCACAAAAAACTAGCACTTTTATTAATTTTTATTAGCATATCAATATTTGTCAAAGACTCTTTATAAAACTAGGAATGTTAAAATGTGGCCACTTGCTAAATGCACATATACATTAGCTTAAGTTTTATTATTTATTTGATACTATTTTTTTGAAATATGTGCTTACAATATAACTTATCTCTTTCGGTCTACTTCGTGCTACTCGCTTAACCTCTCTCTCTATTTCATACTAGTTTTCTCCCACCTCTTATTGATGGAAATGACTTCCTTCTGTAAATGACTTCCTTCATGAAAATCACATAGAATAATGATGTGTAAAAAAGGGAGTGATAGAAAGCGAGTTTGAATGTAAGTTAATAAGAATTGTGCAAAGTTGATACAGGGAATCGCATTATTTTTCGCAAATGCACCTGCCCTACTTTCTGAGTTTTCGCCCTAACTAAATAAAATGCAATATAATTAATGTCTTGTCTGGGAAGACTAATTATTCTAGACAATCAAGTTTTCATAGAGACTGCACATATAAATAAATGCCCTTTTAGTGTGGAGTTTCTCCAATGTCAACAGGTTACCAAACATACACATATAGCCACACACAACACTGATATATTTTTCGTTGCCTAGCCCACATGATAAGTAGACTGCATAAAAGTAAACAGAATGCATATTTGTCATGCTAGAGTGAATAGTGAAATTTCTTGGATACTCCGCACTTGGCACATGCCAACAGAAGACACATGAAAAGGTAATGCCGGCCAGTACTTGACCAAAAAGCACTGCATTATGCAAAAAGCAACTTTAACTTAATTTAAAAGTGCCACTGAGTGGAGGATGCACAGAAAAATCTCTGTGCAACAGCATCACCAACACCAACAGCAACAACGTCGACCGCATAAAGATTGAATGCACTGCACAAAAGAAACAAATTCCAGGGCCGGGCATCAGTCCGAAGAATGCACTCGGAAATGCTCAACATACAACCAAAAACAAAAAAAAAAACAAAGAACAAAAACAAAAAAAAAGAAAACAAGCGCAAGTGGTGAAAATCCTCGGAAAATCCATGCGGCGACGGCCGCCAAAGACAAATGTGGGTCGCAAGCGCAAAGTGCAACAACTTGCACGCACACACGCACACACACACACATACACACGTACATACACAGAGCAGACGGCAAACGGAAGACAACTAGCCACAGAGGGGTAGGTCGGGGTACTGTTGTTGGGGGCACCGACAGATGGCGAAAAGATGCAGCTGGGAGATATGGGCACTGGGAGGGCAACGGCAACGGGGACGTGGACGTGGACGGGAACGGAGACGGGGATGCCGTCGCCGCACGCATCATGAAAATACGCAAAAACAACAAGAAAACTAAACCATGTTTTTTGTACTTTGTTTTTGTTTTTTTGGCACTTGCCGTTTGGCTGGAAAACTCAGAGCTACCCTTCCCCCATTCGCTGGCGTTGTCTGGATTTTGACTTTGGGCTCTTGCACTGCTTAAGTGAAATTTAATGTTATTTTTACAGGCCAACTTGAGCTGGCAACAGGTGTTGGTACTGGCCAATTTTTGTTTTGCACTTGCTGCTTCTGCTAATTTGTTAAATTGAAGTTCTAATTTTATTGTGCTGCCAACTTATTTCCGTCTGCCAATGTATTCAGCTGCAAGTTGGCGAAAAGAAAGACAACAACAAAACACAAGATACTGAAGCAAATTCTTGTGAATAATAATAATTTCAGCACATTCATATTAGCTTACATACATTGCATATTGCTTACGA